TCAGGCTCCGCTTCCGGGAGCCCCCAGGGGGCCGCCCCTTCCGCTTCCGGGGCACTCAGCGGCGACGGCGCCCCCTGCCGGCAGCGAGGAGAAATTGCCGCTCAGCAATAGGCAGCGACCCCCCGCTGAGCCCGGCCCAGGGGCGCTGCCCTCAGCCTCAGCCACACCAGCCCCGTCACCGCCAGCAACCCCATCGCCAACCCCCTGGTTACCACCTTCGTGGCCAGCGCCGCCATGGCAACGCCCCTCGATGGCACCATCCTCACCGTCACCCACGGCAACACCAGCACCTGTAGCAACATCCTCACCAGCGTCACCCACCCCGTCATCGGGCCCCTCCCGGCAGCAACACCCTCTTAGCGCCTTTGTGGACAGTGCCCCTCAGCCCGGGCAGCACCCCCCTCTGAGGGAGGCACAATACATCATTATTGAGGGCAACGCCGCAAACCTGCATCTGCACAGCCCCTCTCTCACCGGGCAGCCCCCCACCCTGGGCCTGAGGTGCCAGCAGGACCCGGGTCCATAGGTGGCTCACACGCAGGCCGGGCCTGTCCCCAGTTCTGAACATGAAAGTAAATTCAATTAACTGAAAGGGTTAAAAACAAACAGTCTCTTCCCTTGAACTCAACTGAGTGACCACAAATCCCATTGGCATTTTCTCCCGAGGGAGATGCTGGCAGGGAATGAAAAGCAAACACATGGCCTCATGATAAAAGAGGTGTTTATTGTACATTCAAATACACAGCTGTTTCTCTAGCATTGGTTCTGTACAGTGGATGGGAAGGCATAGGCCCTGGTTACTCCCTTTGACACCGCTCTGCTCTGGAGGCTATTTCCTTAGGTCACATGCACCTGATCAGGGCTAAGCCACCTCTGCGATGAGCGCACCAGCCCTGGCCCCGCATGCAAGCTGATGAACTGCCAAAGGGACACATTTTCTGTGGCAAATGGATGGTTATTTGGGTCCCTCCCCCAGGCTGCTAGATTGTGCTGACTCCATGTGCTGCGCTAAATGATAATATTGCGCAGAACAGCAGGTCTAACCCTGTGTATTCTCCATCCAGTTCATTGGAGGGTCCATGTGATCCAGCAGGTGCACTGTTCTGACCCCCAAATGGCCATGAACCAGACTGTTTATAACCAGCACCAGCAGTAACAGCCAGGCCACCTGCTCTGTTTACCTGGGCCTGAAATGCGGCATACGTGCTAGTGGCCAGCCTGCATTTCTATAGCACCTTTCGCCAGGGATGTGAAAGCACTTTTTGGACAGGAAGCCATTATACAGACAGTATTTTACATTTCCTGGGATCAAGGACCACGTGACAGGTAAGTAAGCTTTGCAAGACCCCTGGGAGATAGGCATGGGGAGTGAAAATCTGCCTTCAGTGACTGCCGATGGGATTGCAACTGAGAACTTGGTTTAGCCGAATATATATTATCCGCAGTTACAGATCAGAAAACAGACGCAGAGGTCAAGGCCCTGGCTTTCAGAGGGGCTGAGCCCCTCCAGCTCTCACTGACTCTTGCAGGTGGATGCCAAGTGCTTCTAAAACCCAGCAATTTACCCAGGGTGGGGAGAGGTGGGAATAGAGTCAGGAGGCCTGGCTCAGAATCAGCTGCTCTAACGAACCACTTCCCCATCTCTTCTTCCTCAAGGTGTGGAATGGTCACTGAGCAGCCAGCAGTAACCACATACCACGCAATGGGGTCTGAGGTGCTGACTGAAGACTTGTCCATATTCATGTTCATTCAACAACCCAGTGAGACGGATGGATGTGCAGCTCAGGGACGTTCGTTACAAATTCCAGGCGTCAGCCAGCATCTCCAGTTAACGGATACTCTGCACCTCCATTGCGCCTTTCATCAGAGGATTGCAAAGCACTTTAACAAAGGAGGGGAAGGCTCATCATCCCTATTTCAGAGATGGGGAAACTGAGGAACACAGCAGGGTCAAATGACTTGCCCCAGCTCAAATGACTTGCCCCAGCTCACTGTGGGTCAGTGGCAGAAGAGCATATGGAATCCAAGCCACCTGACTCCCGGTCCCCTGCCTTAAGAGATTCCCCCTCCTCTTCTGTGGATGCATCACTACTGGCTTCAGTGCTCCACCGAGTCATTTTGACCCTCGTGTCTCAAACCCAGGGTGAAGCAGCTCAGATATAAGGTTGCATTGAGGAGCTACGATTTCACATCAGACCAGGCTTGACAAAACAGCTGGATCTTGACTGAAAGGTGAAAATAATAGTGGAGAGAGACTCCCTAGTGCAACCCTGGCAGAGGTGAGACGTGAAAGCTTCTGCACTAGTCCCCAGAGCGGGATGGGGGCCTGTGAGAGCACAAGAGGGTCGTTGACAAGCCGCTCACTAATGGAGACATGCTAAGCTGGCAGAAGTCCATGGCATGGCTTTTTGAGCAGCGGGGTGATGGTGAGAGCACACGGTGTCGAGGGAGTTCCCATTGCAAAGATGTCTGGTGTTGGCAGCTCTGATGGACGCAGCAGGACCAAGTGAGCAGAGTGAGAGGCGACGGAATGGCTCACTCCAGGAGTCACGTCTGCAGCTCCAGGAGGCAGTTTCTGTCCCGGTCAGCTAGGGTGCCTGAGCTGAAGATAGCTGTGTGATGGGCGTCTTCGAGGTCCTGCAGCACCTGGAATAGCCTTGTGGGTCCGTCCACATTTTCAGGGTCTGAGGAGGTGCAGGGAAGCAGAGAGAATTACCCTGACTGGAGTGGTGCTTGCACAGCAGCTGCTGACAACACTACCAGCCCCAAGAATCACCAGAGGAGACAGCACCACCAGAAATTCGAGCCCACCCCCAGCAGCAAAGGATGATAGCTAGGGCTGGTTGAAAATTTTGATGGCCATGGTTGATGGCCAGGACAGGGAATTATTTCAAGGTAAAGTGGCATTGTCTGGGAAAAGGGAGGAGAGTGTTGATTATTAGATATATTGCTAATCACAGCCATGCCCACTTGGGAAAGATGAATAATCCATCAACAACAAAGCAATACCTCCACTTTGGCGCAGAAGAACGTTTTCATTTTTCTCCGTCAACATCTCCAGATACTTTTCCCTTAAGGGAGCAAGATGAAACAACAATGGGTTTTCAGATGTAATCCGCAATTAACCGATTAGCCCCACTATATTCAAAGCCAAGAGGCCAGAATGTGCAATCCTGCACAATGCCACTGATAACAGGAGTTGAAGACAATCAGCATCTCATGAGATGGTCAGGACCTTGCAAGATTAAGTTGTGTGTGTCTGCTCCCCTTGGCTAACTCTGGACACATGGTGGCTTCTTCTAAGGACCTTTGAGCAGCCACCCCAGCCTCTCGTATATGTCCATCGCCCTGCTCACCCACACTTCCTTCTTTGGGATGTAGCCCCAGTGAATGCTCAGGAAGGAGGAACTGTTCAGGGTGATATGGGGTGTAGATGAAGGAGGATGGGGACAGTCAGAAAGGGAACACTCAGGGTGAGTGTCAGGAGTTCCCGCACCGTGAAATCCATTAAGATAATGGAAGAACCTCCCAAGGGAGATGGTGAAAGCCCCACTGCTTGGGGCATTTAAACTAGAATGGACAGAGCACTGAAATAGACTGAAGGGAACAATCCTGGCCTGGGGTTGGGCAAGATGTGACCTAACAGGGATTCCAATCTCCAATTTCTAGGCTAGTAACTAATGATATCTTTCTGCACAGGATCCCAGGCTGCAGACCAGTGTAGAGGGGGCCCCTGGGGTATCACCCTCACTCTGGCGTCAGTCAGAATGCCTGGGACATATGCATATAGACAGTTACGAACTCCAGGCCGATTCTGGCCAGACCTTTGAAACAGCAGAACTCTGGGCCTTAGGCAGATGATTGCCGGGGAAGAGTGCGTGGCCTGTTGGCCCCTGGGACACGTAACTCACTGTGCTGATTGGCCCCCATCCCTCCTTGGGGCCACAGAGATGGTCCTCCGTGAGCAAGAGCACAGTGTGTGAGACTCACTCCATGCTTACAGGCCCCTCGCAGGGCACAGAGATGATCCCTGGGTGCAAACTCCTAGAGGGAAACAGCCCCAATCATGCCACACGAATCAAGCGACTCACCTCATTAAGTCTCTAACTCCAAACAGGTGTCTAAAAATTAACTGAGACTCTAGATCTGGATCCAGGGGGTCATTCCATTCCTGCAGAGTGACTCCATGCCGGGTTTTATCACATCCCAAACCTAGGCGACAGCGGCCAGGACAGCAGGTTAATTTGAGGTGGGCCCCCAAAGGCGGGCTGTTGGTATCAGAGTGGTGCCCTCTAGTGGATGTAAGAGCCATCGGGTTTAACCACACGCACCAAGGCATTCTGCGACTCCCCCTGCTCTGGCTTCCCTGGAGGGGGGAGCGTCCGGGTGTTCCCAAGCCATCAGTACAGCAAATTAACACAGCTCCGCACCCAAGGAGACAGGAACAATACTCTGCCTTTCTCTAGCCCCTGAGCCCTGGTCTACACTACAACCGAACTCCCAGTGTAGCCAGCGCTACATCGACAGGACGGCTTCTCCTACCGCCTCTCAGGGAGCTGGGGGTGGAGCACGTATGCTGACGGGAGACGCTCTCACAGGAGCGTCTTCGCTACAGCGATGCAGCTGCACCGGTGCGGCCTTGTAAGCGTAGAGAAGCCGAGCCAAGGGGCTCCAAGCCCGCTCGGCAGACAGCTAAAAGAACAAGCTGACGACCCACATGTCCCTAGTTTGGACTGTACCAGCCACAGCCTCTGCGGGTCAGGCACAGAGGGGAACCCATCCCACCCACCCACTTGTAGATTAGACAAACACTTGATGCCCAGGCATGCGTCTCACAGATGGGACCCAGAAGGAACAGAGAGGTCAGGTGACTTGCCCAAGGTCACACAATGAGGCAGTGGCAGAACTACAGCCCTAGAACCCACCCACGAGCCACGCCTCTCTGCTCTCACCACTAGACTCCCTTTCCATTCCCAAACCTTCCCCTTTGCTGGCAGGAGGCTGGGCAAGCACAGTACCTGTTTTATCCTTTTGGTGGCAGCAGCTCCATTTGTCTCCTTTGAACACTCCCGGGTGATAGGAGCCCAGCATCTCGGCGTTGTTAACGCAGACTTTCCTCAGGGCCGAGAGCCACTGGTTCAGCTCATTGACGCACTGAAACAGACACGCACAGCGGGCACTGCCCTATGTCCCTGCCAGAGGTGCCAGGCACTGAGTGACTGGAGGGTCCCCACCC